TAGTAACATGAGTAACACTGGTAACACCGGTAACACGAGTGACACTAGTAACAGGGGTAACACGGAACACGGGTAGCAAGGGAAACACAGGTAACACTGGTAACACGGATAACACGAGTAACACGGGTAACACTGGTAATGTATGATCAAAGCCTAAAACAAGTCAAAACAAGATGATCTGGAGTGATAACGATCTATGGACAAGTAAGTCAACAAGTAAGTTGGAAATGAATGGTTGATATTTCTCATTTATTACATCGACTGCTTTGAAAAAGGTATGCTCTGAAAGGCAGCAACTCCACTCATCCTGCCGAAGAACTAATTCTTATAGAAGGAAGGTGCAATATGGAGGTTGAAGCGGAAGAACAGCCTAAGGTGCATCATCGCAAGATGGGCCCGAAAGGATCAAGACATCAAGATCAAGATGTTCAAGACGAAGCAATGGTTGACGTATTCGGTATACTTGGGTAATCGAAGACAAAAAGTAAAAAAAAAAGAATTGCAGTCGACAACGGCCGATGTTTGAATCTGCTCGAGAGACGTGCATACATTCCTCTCAGCGCACAGGTAAGCAAGAGATGTTAAAGGCAGCGTCGAGGTAAATCTGGATCTATAGGGCTCTCACGTGGAAGTAATCTTGAGGCCCTAAACAAGACTCTGCCCAAGTGGCAGCTCATATATTGCAATCACAGCTGAGATATTGGCCTCCACACTATGCCCCCATATACGCACGGATTCGTGACGCTTTCGCGCGCGGACCCACCGAAACTGATGTGTGCTGAGCCATGAATCCGTGCGAATACGATCACGGGGCATGGTTTAGAGGCCTATATCTCAGCCATGATTGCAATATATGAGCTGCCGTTTGGGCAGGGTTTTATTTAGGGCCTGAGATTAGCCCCGAGATCCAGATTAGCCTGGACGCTGCCTTTGAGGTGTACATAATTCTTAATTTCCCCAATTTCAGCGTATGATGGCATCGGGTCCGATAAATGGACAAGAGATAGCTTACTATCCCTGGAACGTCGGCAACCCGAACAAAGCTCGCTCAAGAGAGCGGAAGCATGCTGGAGGGGAAAGTCGTGAAAGTCGTGAGCAGAGGAAAAGTCGAGAAAGTCGTGAGCAGAGGAAAAATGAAGAAAGACAAGCGGCTGGCACTGGCAATGGCATTGTAAATTTGTAAAATAAATCTCTAAGAAGAGTGCTTACAAATAACGTACTTGGATAAAGTAATTGCTCGGAGAGCTTCCTGAACAAATGAGTTGCGTACGACATCTGACTTGCACATTTGATATGCAGTTTTTCCATCTTCATTTTGAACACACGGGTTAGCTCCGTTTGACAACAAGGCGCTGACAAAATCAGCGGAATCTGAAATAACATTATTAAGATGGTTAAAGTTCACAATTTTCAAGGCCTATCGCAAAAGAAAATTGAAATCGACGATGTAAAGTATAACACGTGTCATGCCTCACCCGCTTAGCCCACTTGATCCACTTCGCTATTGGTCAAATCAGTGAACTACTGACCAACAAAGCGGATGTGCACATGATTCACTTCGTCCACTTCGCTATTGGCCAGTCCGCTGATTTGACCAATAGTGAAGTGGATAGCGGATCAGCGGATCAAATTCGTCAAAAATGGAGTGTGCTTAAAGACAATAGCTCGGGAAAATTGCAACTGCGAGCTTTCTACGACTACATGGCCTTCTGGATCAGCTGAGTCCGGTACTGCGCTTGAAAGGTCAAAAAAGTGGCTTTTTGGCGATTCCGGGCCTTGGAGATTGCTGGAGGGGCGAGGCGAGGGA